ATTGTTAAAGAATTTACTAGTCATAAAATAGAAAAATTCAAAAAATAGCTCTATTACATTAAACTATACGAAGTGCTGCAGTAATCCGCAGTAATTTCGGATTTTCATAAAAAAAATTTATCATATGATGGTTTGATGAACACCTAGTGTGACACCCAACACGCTATCTATAATTTAGAAGAACTTAAATACAGGTCAATATTTATTTTTTTTTGATTTTATTTTTGATTTTTTTTTTTTTTTTTTTTATTTTTTTTGGCTTGATTTTTCTTTGGCTTGATTTTGATTTTTTTTTTCGCTTAAGAGTAATGATGAAATAATAATGATAAATTATGATTAAAATAATAATAAAATGCAAATATCGACCTTTAATGTAAGTAATCACGCCCAAATAGCTGATAAAGAAAATTTTTTTTGGTAAGTATATTAATTTTAAACACTTATCTCCTAACAATAATAAAAATGCTACACCATGGGAAAGTGTTACGTACCAATCAAAGACATAATACCGGCACCAACAATTAAACAACTGAATGCAGTGATTTGATCGGATTTGGGAATTTTTTGAAATCCCGAGTCATAAATGAAGTCATTGGCAATAAGCTCGACCATGGCAGCATATAAAAGAATTCCAGCAGATACTGAATCAAAAACACCTTGCACAATAAGTGCAGTACCTGAATTAGGGTTGTAGGAATCACGAATTAATAAGCCTATCAAAATGCCTGCCGGAGTTGTAGTTCCGTAAGCCAATGACATCAACCATGGTGCATAACTGTTCGGAGGAAATTTGAGCTCAGCAACACGAGAACCGATCCCAAGGCCTTCAAACAACTTAGTTAAATATTGTTGATATACGGATCGATTAATATAATTAATATTATGAGAACAAAATTTTCATATACTGCAATTGTTAATAAAAAATGATACATACTTGGTGAAATATCAATGCGACAAATAATGGAACAAATTCATCACCCGCGACGGATAAAGCCATTCCGATAATTAACGAATGCATGCATATACCAAATTCTAAAATAGAGATACCTATGATTTGAGACCGGGTGCTTAAAACAGTTTGAAAGTTAATTTTCCCGAAATTTCCGAAATTACTAAAAATGCCAGTAAAAATCCTCAATAATAAATACCCTAAC